TAGGACAAAGATCACCAGTCTACCTGACCATACAATAGCTTTTCAATCACACTATACTGTCCTTTTCGTTGGCCTTGACTGGTCTGAAAGTCATCAGAGAGCTGGGGATGATGCTGACACTGCCTCCACAGGGGGCAGATTACAGGGATGCATCACTGTACCTAGTTTATGTGGGGGGTATTGGGGTCAAACTCAGGGCACTGTGCACGCTAGGCACTCTACCAACTGAGCCACATCACCAGCCCATGTTTAATCAGTTCTATCCATTTGTTTATCTCAAATATTTTGAGCAGGGATCAGTTACCTTCAATCCAGGACTCACTTTGGGTATTTATACAAGATAGGTAATTGCTTTACAAAAAAAAAATCAAAACAAAAACACTTCTGTCACATCCTGACTGGAGACCACAGTGAGGCAACCACTGTTCTACAATTGTTACATTATACTATTTTTAAAAGGAAAAGAAATTTGGGTTTATCAGCGTGCCTAAAACCAGAGTCATAAAATATAAATGTTCTCTTAAAGGAGAATTTTAGTCATCAAGGATGACTATTTTGTCAGTCTTAATTTTAATGTGATGGGAGAGTCAAGGAAGGATAACACTCTCCAAGGACATCCAGGGTGTCCCCAACAAAACTCAACACCAGCATGCTGGCACAATGACCAGCAGTGGGTCTATAATTGTGGGCTTTGGGCTCACACCAGCAGACCTGAGTTTGTGGAGCTAACCCACTGGGAGCATGGGCCGAAGAGATCAGGGCGTAAGTTGGAAGTTTTGTAGGAAAAGTAAATTAGAGACTAAATGACTAAGAAAGTAAAGCTGAAAGATAAACTACCAAACTAAGAAGATATTTATTTAAAGAAACAAAACCACACTGCTTCCACTTTTGATTTGTGATACTGTGTAAAAAGGTACTTAGTATAAAATAACTACTAAATACTTAACACAAAAAAACTTCCTTATAAAGTTTACTAGTTACTTGCTTACAGTAAGTTTAGCTGTGGACCAAGTGCAAGACAGACTCTTGGAATACTTTACTTGGATTTTCAAAAGCACCAAAGAACATACTATATTTTCAAAGCCCTAGGATACAATGTTTCACATTTTCATATTTTGGGGGTCATAATGTTACTTTATAATAGATATGAACACAAAAAGCTATTAATTATCACAATTTTGGTATCTAAAAGCTAAAAAAACCTGAGGAAGATGAAAACAGGAATTTACTAGGATAGAGCGGGAACTTTCTGGGGTGATGGGACTGTCTTCTCTATCTCAATAGGGATCTTACAAATGACTCAGCAAAGCTATACTTAGGATGTGTGGATTGATTCTATTGCAGGGCTTTTGCTTCAAAAGACAGGATGAAAATATCAAACCTTCATCACTACTTTCTATATGCCACAGCATTTAGGGGGAAATGTACTGATTTCTAACAATTTAACCTGATAGCTGCAAAAGAAGGGATAAGTGGCTTACTAAAGTGGTATAAAATACTTTATTAGGCTGGGCGTGGTGGTGCACGCCTTTAATCCCAGCACTCGGGAGGCAGAGGCAGGCAGATCTCTGTGAGTTCAAGGCCAGCCTGGTCTACATAGTGAGTTCCAGGTCAGCTAGGGCTACAGGGAGACCATGTCTCAAAAAGACCAAAAAAAAACCAACTTTATTAAAAGTACATATCTAAACAGTTGGTACCCACCAAAATAAATACTATTTAAACATCCTAAACTTAGGCAAAGTCTTTTTCTATGTACAGTTGCCCTTGAACCTCTCCTAAGAGTTTCCTGAAGGGTGAATGCCTGCGCTTTAGCAGGTGGAAGTGGGAACTCACCTGCCCATTCAGAACTAAGAAGTTGCAGAATCCCTCCAACCCTTCCCACAGAAGCCCTAACCTTTTCCACCTTCCCTTTTCAGTCAAGATGAGATAGGATCTTTCCTGAGGGTCATTCATCTAGACTACTATTAGAGTAAATAAACTACCTCTTGCCTCCCATTCCTTTGGCTCTTTCAGTAAATATGCAGGCCCCAGGCCACTCTAATACAAACAAAAAGAGGGATAGACAGATATGATAAACCAAGTATAGTAATATGGTTGAATCTGGGTGGTGCCTATGGGTGTTCACAATAGTTTCTTGGTTTGGGGTTTTTTTGGTCTCTTTTGAGACAGGGTCTCCCTGTAGCCCCAGCTGGCCTGGAACTCGCTATGTAGACCAGGCTGGTCTTAAACTTACAGAGATCTGCCTGCCTCTACCTCCCCAGTACTGACACAATAGTTTTTTCAACTTTGCTTTAGGTCTAAGAATATTAACAACAGAATGTTAGAAGTTAACAATTTAAAAATGAATGAGGGGCTGGAAAGATGGCTCAAGGACTGAGAGCACTGGCTGCTCTTGCAGAGGACTCAAATTCTAATCCCAGCACCCACATGGTACTCAGCTGCTAGATTACCTCCTAAACACAAGCCACTAATTAACAACAAATTTCCATCTAATTACAAGTATTAATGCCTGTGACGGTTCAGTCTGGACCACACGAAATAAGTTTAAGATCAGCCTGAGCAACTTAGTGAGACTTTGTCTCAAATTTAAAAAAAAAAAAAAAAAAAAAAAAAAAGGCTGGGATATAGCTCAGGGTAGAGTGCTTGCCAAACTCAGAGGAGACTCTGAGTTCAATCTCCAGTACTGGAAAGGTGGTGGGGGGAGGGGGGGGATCTTCCAATGTAAGAGCTATGAATACTCCACCCTTGGCAGGGCTGGATCCACTCTCACAGGCACCCTCGGGGGTGGACTACAGTGATGGCTCATTTTCATGCCTCACTTGGCAGGGCCTCCCATGTAGACTTTGGTCAAGGCTATATGTCTAGCTTGGGAGAGGGATGCAGCAGAAATTTGAACATGTACACACTGGAATATGCCCTATAGCTACTTATGGAATGCAGGTGTCCTATTAAAAGCCAATATAAGAGGAAACACGGAGCATGCCTTTAATCCCAACACTCAAGAGGCAGAGGCACAGGGAGGCCACAGGGAGACTCTGTCTCAAAAAAAAAAAATACAAAAAACAAAAGAAAAACACCAAAACAACAGCGGATACCTGGAGAAGCCAAGGTGCCCATGGGTGAGACGGTCAAGCCTGGTTTTAGACAGCAGGACAACTAAGTCCAACACAATTGCTGGGAAACCTACAGAACCATGCTGAGTTTTAAACTATTTGTGTGTGTGTATGTGTATATGTGCGTGCACACATGCTACACATGTGGGCCAAGGGGCATGTGTAGAGGTCAGAGGACAATTTTGTGGGGGTTGATTTTCTTCTATTCTTCTACCTTTCTGTGGGTTCCAGAGATTGCATTCAGGTCATCAGGCTTGCATTGTTAGGTCCCAAGTACTTTTAAGATACTGAGTCATCTTACAGGACCAGCCATGCTGTTTTGAGTCACTAAGCTTCAAGGGGGAGTTGTTTTATGTAATCCCTTGAGGCTAAACGATGCTAGGAGAGAAATCATACAATAAATCAGACAATCTCTTTCCTTCTCTCAAACTTGTCCTGCTCTTCTCACTTCATATTAGACACCAAATATTCTATTCCACAGAAAAGAGGCAGCAGAAGATAAATTTCTAAATTCCCAGTTTTCTACCTCTACTTATCAGCACTGGGAGTGTGGCTGTGAGTGTAGACAGGCTACAGCTCCCTCCCAGCCTTACTGGGCCCCATTTTGCTAGTTCTCCTTCCTCCTGTTCCCACCCTGCTACTCTTAAAATGCTGTCTCCCTCACCTGCACCTCATCTTGGCCACATTAAAACCATCAATAACAACAAAACTCTCTGCTGCTCTCACCAGTAGCCAGCTAATGATCAGTTCACATTCTCAAACTGAAAAAGAGTAGGTCTTGGTTTTCTGAGTTTTCATTTCTAACTCCCCTTATTTCTCAGTTCCAGTCTCACTTCCACCCCCTCCAACCCCATCACCCAGCCCTCTTCCACCACACCCCATCTTCTATGGCACAGTTTTCTATTCACCTCATTCAGTCTCAGGAGGCATCAGATCTGCTGATCATCACCCCTCTTTCTAGAAAAGATACATCCCCTAGCAATACCAGCATCCTTATCTCCTCATATCTCCATGTTGGGTTACTTTGGCCTTAGTGACTCCTCTTCCCCTACTCAGCCCTTGAACTCTGGTATTCCCGAGGATTCCATATGCAGCACACAGCTTCTATGACCATCTGTGCTATTGGTGCCTTGGTTTGGTATTTCCACCATAGACCTTTCCTGAATGCCATTTCCACTAGTTAATGGACAGCTACATTCACATGGGCTCAGGCACCTCACAGGCAACGTGGTCCAAAGCAAGCTTAGTATCTGCCACTCTAGTCTGCTGACCTCCCATGTTCCCATGTCAGGAGATACCCTGCTTCTATCAGTAAGTCTACTCTTCGTTCATTTTCTTAGGCACATAAACCACCAACTCCTGGTAAGTCTGGCTCTTAAACTGAACATCGATTAAATTCAACTGCTTCTCCCTAAATTCATAACCATCTCTTTGCCTGCAGTCACCACAGCCTCCCAACCGGTCTCCTCCAGCCCATGTTCCACACTGCAGCCAAAGTGATCTTTTCAATGTGCACAGTGAACCATGTCCTGCCACGTGTCATTCTATCCAGCTACAAATCTCTAGTGCTTAGCACACAGCACACAGGGCACAGGATGATTAACAAATATTTACTGCATAGAAATAATAAATTGCTAAGATTTCCAGTAGGCCTATGCTTGACATACAAAGAGATTAAGTTTCACAGATTTAACTTACAAAACGTGTGAAAAGTCTTGTGTGATAACCAAACAGTAACAACAAATTTAAGTACCTTGTATAATCTTAGTCTTAAAATAACTACAGTGCTTTAATCAATGTCTTGCTCTACTCCCTCCCCTCAAACAAGAAAGCAATTTTCTACTTTCCAAAAGAATAAAAACTTCCAAATATTCAACATTTACTTACGTGCAAAGAATTGACTGGTCCTCACGATCTATAAAACAGAACAGAACAAAACAAAAGTGACCATTTGCCTGATTTTATAATATTTGATATAATAAAGTTGCAGTAACAGATTATAAAATATTAGTAACTCTCAAGTCAAGTTGAATCTGCTACAACCTGATTATAGTCATAAATCTAACCAAGTTAACTCATCTCCTATTACTGTGCCAGATTCTCTGGGGGAAAAAACAAGGACCAGGCTCACTTCACAGATCTCAGTCTAGATGACTTAAAATGCTTGATCAACCCTGATCTTTAAACACAGCTGCAGATCAAATTCAATTGGCAAGGTTTGTAAAAATGTACTTCCTGGCTGTCATTCTCAGAGAGGTAGGGATTGAAAATTCCCCTAAACAACCAGATGATTTTTGTTGACAAAACACTGTTTTCAGAATGGTTTCATGAATACTCACAGCCAGTGAGGACAAACATTATATACAAGGCTTAAGCACTGTATAAAATCTTATCTGTTTTTTTGATGTTGAGATATGGTCTCCGGTAGCCCAGGCAGACCTCAAACTTGCTACATGGCAGAGGATGACCTTGAACTTCTGATCTTCCTGCTTCTATCTCCCAAGTGCTGGGATTATAAGTGTGTGCCATCATATGTGGTTATGGTTTGAATTTGGTTAAGTCCCTTGAAGGCTCTGTGTTGTTTTGGTTGCCAGTTGATGGGCTCTAGGCAAATGACTGGATCCTCAGGGTTCTAACCTTATCAGTGGATCAATCCCTGGATGGACTCATAATATGATGGCATTATTGGAAAGTGGGGCCTAGTTGGAAGAAATAGATGACTGGGGGTATTCCTTAGAGAAAAACACCTTGTCCTTGTCCCCAGCCCCACCCTTCTTCCTGTCTGCCAGATCATCTCTCCCTCTCTCTCCCCTCCTTTTCCCTCCCTCCCCTCCTGTACGCCATGAACTGAGCTGCTTTGCTCTACCACTCTATGACATGTTCCTTGCCATGCTGTTTAACACACATGAAATAACAGGAGAGAATAATAAGTTCAAATATAATTTTATACTTATTCAATATTTTATATTGATACTTTAATATTTTTATATTTTCATATTTCAAAGTGATTTAATAATTTCTTTTTCAATGTGATTTGATAACTTTTTTGAGACAGGATCTCACTATGTAGCCCTGTCTGGCAGAGACCCACCTGCCTCTGCCCCCTTCCTGAATGCTGGCATTAAAGGCACATGCCTAAAACTGAATCCACATCTACAAAGTTATTGGAACAGGATTTATGATTTCTAATCACTTTCAAGCATTCCTATTGTACAGATGAGCTCAAGTAATTCCCATAGGTCACACAGCTTACAAGGGGCAAGGAGCCAGGATGAGCACCCAGGCCTGCCCGCTCCCAGCACCTGTGTTTCTGTGTGAGCATGCATGTGACAATGAAGATAAAACTCAGAACTTCATGTATGTCAGGCAAACACTGTACCCCTGAGCTACATCTCAGCCCTTGTGTTCTGAACAAAACTGAACATGTTTGCTACTGCTCATGAGGCACTGTGGGTCACAAGTCACAGGCAGCTATTTTTTTGTGCTGCTCCCTATCTGAGCTTGCTTTTTCTATGGCGGATGCCACCAGGTACCCAGGAAGGAGCCCTCAGCAGTTCTAGCATGAATAACCTTCTGGACAGAGAAATAAGCCATCCATGTATGTTATATTTGCTTCATATATACTATATTAAACAAATCTGCTCATACATTCTACATTTAAACTGGGCTGTACAAAGAACGTATTACTGTCCTAGCCCCTCAAGTCTTTTTTTTTTTTGGTCTTTTTGAGGGTCTCCCTGTAGCCACAGCTGGCCTGGAACTTGCTATATAGACCAGGCTGGCCTTGAACTCACTGAGATCCACCCAGCTCTGCTTCCCAAATGCTGAGATCAAAGGCATGTGCCAAAAACTCAGCTATTCAAGTCTAATTTTTAATATTTTTTTTTACAGTTCTTACACAAACCAAACATATATATGGGGTACAATGAGATGTTTCAATGCATTATAATACATCAAGATAAGATCAAGGTGACTGGCAAATCCATCAACTCATACATCTACCATTGTTTTATGTTGGAAACATTCAAAATCTTGTCTATTAGCTATTCTAAAATTTACAATTAATTGCTGTCAAACATGGTCACCTTACTGTGCTACAGAACTTCAAAAATTATTTCTCCTATCCAACTATATTCCTGAACCTCCATTACTTAGTGTTTTTTGTTTGTTTGTTTAAATAGAAGCTTATGGGGTTGGAGGGATGGCTCAGCAATTAAGAGAACAGGCTGTTCTTGCAGAAGACCCGGGTTTGAATCTCAGTACCCACATGGCGGCTAACAACCATCTGTAACTCCAATTCCAGGGGATACAATGCCCTTTTCTGTCCTCCGCAGGCACTGCATAATAAACACATGCTGACAAAACACTGATATACATAAAAAATAAAAAGAGAGGCTTTCTGTAGAGTCAGCTTCTAAGCTGACTGTATACTTGTGATTCTTTTGTATCCATGTCCTGAGTGGTAGAATTATAGGTCTGTACCACCACGCATGGCCCAATTAGTTAATTCTTAACATTGCCTAACCACTGTGTTAGCCTTCATTCTGGAAGCCACAGGCAACATTCGAATTAGAGATTCAATGCCTGTCTCCTGATCCATGTGCTGCCCCAGAGGTCCCATGTGGCCTCTCCTCTCCTGTGTTCTTGGATTCACAATCACTCAGGTACCTCCCATGAGGCTCTGTACACTCACTGTAGTTCTATCCCTTCTCAGAAACCTTCCTAACACCTTCCCTCAGGTTCTACAACACTTTTTTAGGCATGTTTTGGAACTTAAGCAACAATGAGACTGACTCCCACTAGAAAGTGCTGAGCTCTAAGACTTGGCCCTTTTATTCTCATCAGTACCAGTCTTGGTGGGCCACTGTTCCTTTTCATGCAAGTCCACTGGGAGATGGCAATAGACCATTGGGTCCTATGCTGGGTGCTGCCAAGATGGTGAGAACTGTGATCTTTTGTTCTAGTGCCAGCTCTGCTACAAACTATGTATGTATATATATATATATATATATATGTATATATATGTATATATATGTATATATATATGTGTATATATATGTATATATGTATGTATATATATGTATATATATATGTATATATGTATATGTATATATATATGTATATATAAGCTTTTACCCTTCACTGATTCTTCACCTAGAAACTCATGGTTTTCAGAAAGAATGGGGTTTTGTTTTGGTTTGGCTTTTTTTGGTCTTTTTGAGACAGGGTCTCCCTGTAGCCTGGGCTGTCCTGGCTGGCTGGCCTCGAACTCACAGAGATCCGCGTGCCTCTGCTTCCTGATTGCTGGGATTAAAGGTGTGTGCCACCATGCCTGGCCTTTATTTATTATTTTTATTTTATGTGTATGAGTATATTGCCTGCATGTCGTACAATAACCAGGGAGGTCAGAAGAGGGCGTCAGATCTCCTGGAACTGGAGTTACAGATGGTTGTTAGCTGCCATGTGGGTGCTGGGAATTGATCCTGGGTACTCTGCAAGAGCAGTCAGTGCTTTTAAGTGCTGAGCCATCTCTCCAGCCCTACTTATTCACTTGTAATGTATGAATCTTCAAACCTTTGAATCCTCCTGGTCTGAGTAATTTCTGTAGAACCCCTTGAGACCAAGTTTTTTTAAATGGCTTTTTTTTGGGGGGGGGGATACTTAAATGAAAACACAGGGCTAGGAGTATAGCTCAGTGGTACTGTGTTTGCCTAGCATATGAGAGGCCCTGAGTTCAATAAGTCAATAACCAGTACTGAAACTAGAAAAAGCAAAGGGTACGGAAGGATGAGGAGAGAAAAGAAAAAAGAAATCAAAATACACAAAACTTAGCCCAAATTAAACAGCTTCTAATTCACTCAGAATTAGTTCTCTCTCTGCACCTGTATATACACCACTGCCACTGTCTAAAGTTTAAGAGGTACTTAAGAGTGTACCTTCAAATTTGTTGCTCTTCCTTTGCCTACATTCATACACACATACATACACACAACACACATACATGCACACACACCATCAACAATAACAAGAAACTTCTAGCAGACACATCTATTCTCATTGTCTCTCTGACCTTGAAATATTTTTGAGTCTCAGTTTCTCTATTAGTACAGTAAGGGAAATGAGTCTGTCCCTCATCCTGGTCCTATGTCACTGAATCCTCCATCTGTGAAGGGTCAAGCAAAGCACTATGACAGTTTGTCTTCAAATTCTGAAAACCTATAAATGTACTCGACTGTGACATTCAGTGTAAAAAAATTCACTTTACAAAATGCAGCAAATCTTCTAAAGAATGAAGACTCATTTGATAGTTCAGTAAGCTCAGTATTTTCCAAAGTACCTTCCAAAAACCACATATGGAGGTACTTAGTGCATCCATGTTGAAATAAGCCATATTTTCAACAGTGAGAAAGGTTTCAAATCAATGATCTCAGTCCCTACTTTAAATCATTTGGAAAGGGCAATTAAGCCCAAAGAAAGGAAACAAAAAAGAACAGAAAGTAATGCAATGGAAAACGGGAGAAAATTTTTTAATTCAATGAACCCAAATGTTGAAGAGATTAATGACACTGATAAACTTCTAGCCAAACTAACCAGGAAAAAGTTAAAAACAGAGCAATTACTAATATCTACAACAGGAAATATCACTACACATCCTACAGATAGTTAAAATATGAGGAAATAGGAGCTGGAGAGATGGCTCAGCGGTTAAGAACACTGGTCGTTCTTGCAGAAGACCTGGGTTCGAATCTCAGCACCCACATGGCAGCTAACAACTGTCCCTAACTCCAGTCCCAGGGGATCAGACAGCCTCTTCTGACCTCCACGGGACTGAACAACATGGGTGCACTTACCTACGTGCAGGCAATACATGCATACACAGAAAATAAAAATAATTAAAAAAAATTTTTTTTAAAT